AGCACATTTATCATTCTCAAACCTGCAAAATTTTCAAATACATATTCGTAAGGGTATGAAATATTATTAATAATTTAATATTTTGGTATTTGTAAAACTTACCAACTGTGTAGGTATTGTATATAATATAATACATTTAAATATTTTTATATAAATATATAAATATATTTATTTATAAATATTGATAATTGTATTATAAATGCATAAATGTATATTTATATTAAAATATGTAATTGATAATTTACAATTTATACATTTATATAATATTCATTTTTAATTTATACATTTATAATAATATACATTTATACATTTATAAATATATTTATATTATGTATTGTATATAATATAATACATTTATAATACATTTATATATTTTTATATAAATATAGTTATTTATAAATGTATTATAAATGCATAAATGTATGTAAATATAAAAATATAAAAATTATAAATTATAAAAATACTCAAAAATATGTTTTAAAAATACCTCTAAAAATAATCCAAAAAATTTCTACTGTAAAAGTTTTTCATATAGTTTTTAAAAAACAACTAATCCAAACATACTTGTATTTCAAAAACGAAATGCTATAGTGTTGTTTTTGAAAAACAACCCCAAAAACAGCTAATCCAAACGGACCCGTATGTAATTTAACATTTAGAATAGTAAAATATATTTTTTATTATGTTAATTATAAAACCAAACAAATTGTCAATTTTGGTAGTAAAAATGACAATATATTTATGTGAACCTTTGATATTAGATAACATTGTAGTGATTCTATTCATTATGATTGACTACTGCATATGCAATAATAGGTTTTAGTACTATTTCGTAACATGTAACATATTAACAAAGCAATTGGGGAGCTTTCGGTAGGATTTATTAAAGTGCTTATAAGCAATTGGTACTCTTTCCACATTCTTATTAACAATGAAAACAACAATAATATTATAATATTCGGAATTGTATTAATACTTAGAAGTACAATAAAAATGCCAAATTATAAAGAATACATAATACCGAAATTTCTAACTTGATTCTTATAAACAATCAAAACAACAATAATAATATAATATTGAGAATATTATTAATAATTGAAATAACAATGGAAACACCAATATTTAAAGAATAAGTACCGTAACTTCTAACTTGATTCTTATAAACAATGGAAACAACAATAATATTATAATATTGGGAATATTATTAATAATTGCAATTATAATGAAAATGGCAATATGTAAAGAATAGATAATACCGACTTGGTTCTTATAAACAATGAAAACAATAATAATATTATAATATTAGAAATATTATTAATAATTCTAAATATAATGAAAATACCACTGTTTAAAGAATAAATAGTGGCGAAACTTCTAACTTGATTCTTATAAACAATGGAAACCATGTCATTCTGGATTGTGCCCGTGCAGATGTGACATGAATTTTACATTTTTTTAGCACCTCATTCCTACCATAAGTAAGATTTCTAAAAGATGCTTCGGATGGGCAGATGCTCTTCGTCCAAAAATCGGTTGTATGGGAAGCTATTGGTTCTTGATGATTGTAATATGCTCATTTACCTATAGCCCTGAACTGTACATTGTAGATTACTAATGAAACTTGGACATAGTTGCATGACTGTCAACCGAATTCCCAGCTTTTAAGTTTTCAAGTAATATTGACTCTTTATTACATGGTGAAGCGTCCTTTCTTGCTCCAGGCACAAACGGGGTAATGCCAATTGGTAGTTCTCTTAATCTGCCAATTGGCTCAAGTATACTTTACTGGCTCAATCCTACTCCAGTTTTCACTCGGCTGCACAATAACTCAACAAACACAAATCAGATTACCAACCTTCTGATCAAGAGTCGTCCTATTCCTATTTCTTAAGCCCTCTTGTTATCAAGTATCATATTTAAGAATTACCTGGTCCATGAAATGGATTAGGAAAGCCTAGAGAACCCGAATTAGTCATGTCATACCATAACTGGCTTAGAACGTTCCTAAACCCAACAACTAAGTGTTCCCCCCGATCAGTCACGAAAGATTAAGCATTTTGCAATAAACCCAAACGATTTACAATTTACGTAAACCCAAACGATTTACAATTTACGTAGGAATTTGCACAGAAGAACAGGAGCACTCCCGTGCCATGTTCGACGCAATCTACCCCACCGCGCCTCTTGTAATTCAACACAAAATTATCCTTGCTTGCGAAAAGCTCACATCGAGTAAAGTAAGAAGTTTTATGAACAGCAAATGACGATATTTAAGGGCATATATGAAAGGACATAGTAAAAGTTCCATTCTCAACAATGGAAACACCTTTTATAAATATTAGTATGGGTTTCTGCACAATGTTGAATTTGAAAGAATAATCAATTATGGATTTTGAAGGTTTTCCCTAATCAGTAACGTTTTTGAAGGTTCTGAAAGAATAATCAATAACGTTTTCCCTAATCAAAGCTATGACCATGTTCCGGTACTAATCTGATTAATTACTAATACAATGAGAACTATATGTCTAAATGCCTAAACTCACATAAAAGCCATAGTACCATACTTTGTTGATTGAGCCAGCAAGGATTAGTATAGAAACAACAATAATATTATAATATTGAGAATATTATTAATAATTGAAAATACAATGAAAATATCAAGATTAAAAGAATAAATAGTACCGAAACTTCTAATTTGTTTGGCGCGGCGTTTGAGTCGGTTTAGTCGAGATTTTATCCATCGTAGTTGATGTGAGATTTCTCTTTCGCTGACGCAAAGTTGTTGGAACTGTTCCAATTCTTGTGTGGGACCGTTGCGGCGTCCTTTTCGTTTTGTTAGCAGATGTTTCCTCCTTTGCAATATTGCGAGTTTGAAATTTATGCGTTGCTGACATGCTTGTAAATGGCCATGTTCCATTGTGAAGTTAATTTGAGAGGGTCAAGAAGGAAGTTGATTGGAAGGGTTTTAATTATAGTGGAAAGGGGGATGTGGAGTGAAATTGTAAGAGTAATTCCCAAAAGTAATACCAAGTATATTGTTGCTCCGTGGGAGTTGGAAAAGATCATGTGCCGTTGAAGTAGGGGATAAGTACCAAGTACATTATATCTCCGTGGCAGTTGGAGTAGTGGTACCACAACCATTAGTAGTGGAAAGAGTTTTAATGTAAGTGGAAGTTACATTTTTGTGTGAGGGAACGTAGGAGTGTTAGAGTAATGTAAGTGGAAGTTAAATTTTTGGTTGAGAGAACGTGGGAGTGTTAGTTGGAGTTAAACGTGGGGATGTGATGTGCCCATGATATTTTTTACGAAATAAATTAAATATAAAATGCTAGGAAAATAGAGTTGAGAGTGGGAAGGGTTGTGAAGGCTTGTTGCTAAAAATCCCTTCTCAAATTTATATAGATATAGATAAGGATACAAGGCGTGCGCGTGGCGTTGGGTTCACTAGTGTAGCGTGCAGACCTGCACTTGCAATAATGCATTTTTTTTTTTTGTGGGATTGATGCAATAGAGCATTAAACATAGAATTAGTCAGCATTCGGGCCTAATTGCTCAATAAGTCTACAACTTGTGATCGGAAAACAGGAAACCACAGCCGCATAATTATTTGTGAAACAGTTGAAGTAGCACACTAATATTCCTTCCTCAATTTTGCAACACGCGCTTTAATCACTGAATATGCTCCGCACAATCAACAGAAGCACCTGTCTTATTGTTGCTCGCCGGAGTTTGGGACCAATATAGAACTACTGGTATTTACTATACATATTGCTTGATTGCTTGCTATGTTGGATGTTGCCACCACATTCAGGCAACAGTGCAGTAGGCGTCCCCTAATGCGCGACGCGACTAACAATAATAATAATGTTGGTTTGTTTTGAGCATAGAATGTTTGATTCGAGCAACTCGTACCACGAATTGGATCAGCTTTGTGATCTTCGGACCGGATCATCTCAGTTGTTGAACCTGCTGATCCCTCCTGCCAACTGCCCATATATAACAATTTATGTCAAAGGAAGCAAGCAATCAAGCTAGGATGAATGGAATTCAAGATTTTTTTGAGTTCTAATCCCTTTCTCTTTTTTTTTTTTTTCGCTTCTCAAATCTCATTCCTCGCCTGTTTCTTGTTTCAACCAGTGATCGTAGTATTATAATACTCCTCCCGAGAGTCCAAATTCCTCCTGGAGAAGGTAACAATCAAGCAGCAGTCCTTGAATACTACGGCATGTTGGCCTCAGGAAAGTCGTCGCTTGATTTTGATGGCACCACGAATTTCTTTAAAACAAGAAACCAGGTCATTTCAGGCCCACATCCAACAAATCCAAAATTAGATGCTTCAGCTAATTGTTTTGTGTTCGTGTCAAGATATTAATTACTATGTTATAGTAGTATATTTTTTCCCAGTTCTTTTGCCGAAGGAACAAAAAGAAATTGGGGAACAAACTGTCACGTCCGAGTCTTCCTCTTATCACCAGTCACGAGTACCTGAACCCGAAACGTCGACTTCATTCATCATGCCATCTGAACAGTGTGCATGTCTCCTGCTCAGCGCTTAGCTTAGAGCCTTAGCCTGGTTGATATCTAATTGGAGAGTTATATATATTTTTTTCTCTAAAAAAGTTTATTTTTTCAAGAGTTATATCACACACAGACACACACACACACACACATATATATATATATATATATATATATATATGAGGTTTTTCTCCAATGTTTATAAGCCAAAATCGACCCCTGAATGGAAATACAAGACAAAACAGGGTATGGCATCCATCCCCTGAATGGAAATTCTTTTTTTTTTTTTGGCTCTGACATATCATATTATACAACTATTGTTGGACTAATTCTTGATTACCGGCATGCTTACCACCCTTAGAAAATACGAATGGGGGCTCAAATGAAATTGAAAATCATCATGTTGGCGTCAACTGACTGGATGACAGCAGCAGCATCAACAGTTTGAAGATAAGCTAAAATGGAGCCCACCAACACGCAGGTTTTACCTAAAGTAATCCACTAATGCTGAGATCAACTGATTAGACATTAGCAGCTAAATGGCCTAATTTATCTTACTATAATACGATACATCACCCCCCCTACGAGCTCTTTCCTTACATGGCCTAATGATGACCCGGAAAATAAAAAGAGGAACATTATTGTAAGCAATCAAACAGTGCAAGTATATACACGTCGGATATTGTTCTGTATGGCCTATAATAAACCTTGTAGTTAATGGAAATTCCATAATTAGCTAGCAAAAGGAAAAGTGCAAGCGATCATCAATTCAGCATCTCCTTGTTTTGTTCATCACATAGTAGCATTAGTATATGCTAGTAAAAGTTCTTTCTGGTACTCCACTCCACCACATAGCTTATAGCTAGAGAATCAATTAATGGCTGTGAGATACTCGATTTCTGTTTCTGCTCCCATCATCATCCAAGATCCTGCTTCCAGAAAGCCCGCGAGCATAGTGATGATGAGTGCAGAGAATCACATATCAGTCAACAGCACTGGAAGTAGTATTAGCACAACTCCCTTTCCGATCAGATCACCTACAAGAAACAAGGTAATCATCTTCATTTCCTCTCCGGCTGATTGACAATTTAAAAGTATGTATGGTAAGACAAGGACTACTTGGTTTTGTACGCTAATAGATTTGACTGTTTCAGGTTTTTGAGGATCCATCCAATGGAATCGTCTGTTACAGAGAAGAAAATGGGGAGATAACATGTGAAGGAATCGATGAAGGTCCTCGTCTACACCATCTTTCTTCAAGATTCACTGCTATTAATCAAAGGTACACGGTAAGAAATAGACCACAGATTCTCCTACAAAAAACAACCCTTTCTCCCGGGGTTAACGTACATCTTGCTACTAGTTTTAAAAAGTGACTCATCACCTCTTGCTAGGTTGTGAGTAGTGTGAGTGGTGACTAAAGATTGCTTCTTTTTTTTTTAATAATGTTTGGCTTGCAGAGAAGCAGAGATCATTGACCTACTGGAAAGAAGTTTGCTTCAAGTGGTGGACAGTGACAAGACGTAATTAGGCAAAGGCTGAGACAGGACACGGTGCCGCGGCGAGGCAACAGCATCAATCCGGACTGTAATAATCGATGGCTGCTTCCTTCATCTCATTCTTCTGCTCAATCCTCAGTTTCTGCATAAAACATAATACTTGTATATACAGTCTTGCACCCAATTGATCCTTGGGTTATGTACGATGAAACTGACCGAGCAAAGATCAACAAATTCTGGATGGTCTGTTTTGTTGTAAAGATAGAATGTTGGCCTTTCAATATCACGGCCACCATGGTATTAGCAGCTGGTATAACCTAATAATTCGACCCTCCTCGTTGGTATTTACAATATCTATTTATTTTATGTCCCTTCCCCTGCATCCTCGATCCCAAAACGCCATACCTACACGCCATACTGATAAGGATTTCCTTTGTCACTCTCTGCACATCAGAAAGGGTCATCTAGGCCAGTTTTTATCCCTGATCGTGCTTTGTTTCCATCGTCATTCTCACCTATATCGCCAGCTGAGTATTGATTATTCACAGGTAGCATTCAATCGAGGGAAAAAGATTAAACAAGACACCGAGATAACAGACCACCAGTTGGCACCCAGAAGTTGGTTACTACTTACTGCTAATCAAGAGATATGCATAAGAAGAGATGGAAAAACTTATTTGAAAATAATAATCATGGCACTTTCTCTGGTAGTACCATATATTCATTCGAGATTTAAAACAACAACAAAAAAATTTCTTTGATTGAAAAACCTGTTCAAAAAAGACTCTTGAGGTTTTCTCTTTTTTTTTTTTTTTTAAAAAATTAATACTGCTCCATCCAAACGGAATCCATCATTATTTGTTTAGGAAAGGAAAAGCCTTTTTCGAGACAGGAAGAATGACCACGGCAACTCGTAATGACCGTGCTGTTGTAGAACTCTCTGATATCCACAACTAGCTTCTTTCAACATGTCACTAGAAAGACAAATATAAAACAGAGAGACTGAGAATAGCACTCGAATATGGAGGAAAACTGCACCTATTAATGAGTTCTAACTGTTAATATGCTCACCACTAAGAGCCCTATCTCAATGAAAATCAAAACTAATTTCGAGAATGCTAAATGCTGGAACAGATTAGTGCAACATCTCTAAATGGAGCAGCACAAAATCATTCAGATTTCAGACCACCTCATCTCCAATCTAAAACAACCAAGAAATCTGAATATTTGACCCATTCAGGTACTGCAGAATTCTCAAAACAAGTACTATTATCAGACAAGAACATCAAACCCAGAGGAGAGGACACATCACCTACGAGTCTTCTTCAAGGGATATGGACATGTATTCTGTGATTAGCCATCATTTTTCGTCCTTCATCCAGGAAGCCAACGCATTGTGATAAACTTCAAGCACGCACAAGGGAAAAATAAGAAACCGCGATGAGTTAATATGTTACACAAAATTGCAATTGCATGATCAAAATGGATTTACATCTTAAATTCTAAATACAAAATGAAAGAAAAAAAAAAGTACCAAAAACCATTTTACAAAATCATTTCAAGAAAAGGTCACTCTACTTTTTATACTGCTGAGCATTTCCCAGGTAATAAAGCCAAGTTCTTCAGCCATTGATAAACAATCATGAATTCTGCTGTTAAAGAAGGTATTTGGAAGTTCCCTCCAAAAGAATTCGAAATGGCAAAAGCACCATTTATGAACTAGAAGAATAATGCAGGAGCATGCTCCCAAAAATATATCTTCACATGTACAGATTGGCCAATTTACTTGATCACTGAGCAGCACCTCCACCCTGCAAGTTCTCAGATAAATCATTCTGAGACTTGCTGGGAACTATAGTAGGCGGAGACCATTGATCTGGAACCATCAGAAAATAGGTTGTCATTGCTTTTCTAAACCTCTTTTTGTATTGCTTAGGTGAGATTACTGTTGGTGGTGTGTTTTTTGGACCCCCAAGGATTCCAGACGCCTTCACCCATGTTTCCAAGTGCTTGTCCCATGTATACTGCCGCATGAAGTCGATAATCCCAAGAACAAGTTCATGCTTCTCTTGATCAACACCAACCAACAATGAATAGTCCATTACATCAATTGACTGCAAAAGTAATCAGATCGTCAGTAGTGATAACATGCATCTATCAGGGAAAAAAGACCCAGGAAATGCAACGCGAAGGACACGCCATGTGAAAATTGACACAAACACAACACTCACTCATACAGCGCCACCCACCCCCCCCCCCCACCAAAAAAAAAGTTTTCATGGGAAGATAAACCAAATTTTCATGAGCTAAGCTCAAATTATTGTACATAGGGCAACCTAGCTGATCAGAGATAGTTAATCATCAACAGTTCACACAAAAACAAAAGATGGAGTATATATTAGCGCACCTAAAGTGGTCAAAAAAGCCAAGTTCGGAGATTCTCTTCAAGAGACAATTTATATGCTACCATATGTCATATGTCTGACATGTTACACGTTTACTGACTAAGCCGTTAGAGAAAGTTGGAAACTTACTGCAAGGAATGCAGTATCATTCCAAACTGCTCTTTCAAGCAACCTCTTTGCCTTGTTTCCAACAAATATAGGAGAAGTTGGCATTGCTTCAATCAAGTTCTGATCCAGCAAAACCTTGTTACTTCCACTGGAATCCGGATTATATCGAGATCTGGAAGATCCTTTTAGATCATAAAGCCGTGTCAAGTTTCTCCCAAAAAGAAGGTTCTCCATAACAAGAACATCCATCTTTAATTCCTTTCCCCCCTTAACATGCTTCGACGTAACCTTCAGCAATCAAGGAAATGACAATATAATAAGTTCCAAGAAGGCAAAAATAACAATTATTGGGGGTTCAGAAAAATGCTTCACCGAACCAAAAATGAGGGGAAAGGACAAGAACCTACAAGTGATATCCAAATACAACATTTATTTTCTAGCAGAGTATAAGAAAGTGATAGAAGTCAAAGTACAATCCATGGATCTTGGCCTAGTTTAAGAAAGCACTAGACATCAAACTAGAATTCCAAGGATATTGGCCTAGTAGTAAAACCTATCCTTAACACACACCAGATGAGGGTTTTATTTCATAAAATGGACAGACGTAAGTAAAACTAGCATCTTGCAAGCGTTCTGATGCCTACCTATGTGAAGGTTGCTTTCTGCAAACCATACTATTACTACGATCACTGTAAGAGTTTAAAAAATAAGCCTTTAAATTCCAAATTTACTTTCATTCGTAATTTATTAAACTCCTACTTCTACCAACTCAAATTCAGTCCCTAGAAGTACCTGATAAATCCCAAGTATCTTTGCCAGACATGTAGGGCTTCCTGAACCAATAGATTCAGAAAGATACTTGAAATATCCAGGAGCAAACTTTATGAAAGATTCCAGCTCAGTCTTAGTGACTTGTTTAATAATAAACCTATCATCCAAGGTTTTGGCAAAAAAGACATTACTCTTGCCACCCTGGGCTCCCCATTTCTTACAGCGGCTAAGAGATCTTATGAAGTCAATCTCAGATGGGCAACAAATCCTCCTCAAAGCTTCAAAACGCTTAGCGTAGTAACAGGTCACAGTATATTTCACCTTCCCAAGGGGTCCATCATCTGTCAAAGACACTCTGGCGTGCATAGCTTTTGTGTAAGAAAAAGGATCCAACACCGAGGAGCTACGAGTACTGGACATGGATAAGATACTTTCATCTGCAGAACCAAGACTTCTATAAGGTTCCAAGGCTATTTCGTCCATCGAGTGAAAAGATTGAAAACTCCCCGAGTCAAAGGACAGAGATGATGTTAAGTCTGCCATGTCCTTCAGTCTCTCAAGATCATCAGACAGTTGGACCAAATAATCGGGGGAAGCCAGGACATAAGCTATAACACTCGTAGGCTCATCATCATAAACTGGAACCACTGTGTCATTAAACCCAACAGGTAAGAGCAACCTGGCCCCACCTTGAAGTTCCAACTGTCTGAATGAGGAGATATAGACAGGATTATACTCAGACAGCGTGTCCAATTTCTGATTATTACCTAAAAAGTTTTTATTCAATGAGCGATAGAAGCTTATGAAGGGAAGACCTAGCCAGCTGACAGTATCTTCCACATTATCAGAAACTCTGGAGGACAAAAAAGGAGATGGCACAATTTTAGCGCCAGTCAGTTCCTCACCATGGCCCTCTGTGTCCAACATTTCTGCAGCTCCTCCAGTAGTCGATGAATCCAATGAAGCTGTATCAGAAACTTTATGCATATCATCCATTGATAACCCCAGACCAGGATTAGTTTCACCAGTCCAAGCAGCATCAAGTGTCTCTGACAGACTCACCATAACTGGAAACTGCCCATCAGAAAGGACGCCATGAACACTTACATTAGACTCTAAAGAAACAGATTCATCATGAATGTCTGTCACGCTAGAAGGAAATGACAGATTTCCTTTTACACTATTAGGATTTGAACCGTCAGTTTCCTGATGACCAAGTACAGCGGGATTTTTCAAGCCACCAACTCCATGATCACAAATAAATTCAGGAGGATACTCACCACCGCTAACCCCATGATGATGACTTTCATCTAGATTTACATCAGGAGAAGCCAAATTAGAACTGTCGAAACCCTGGCCTGGTCTAACAGAAACATTTAAATCACATATCTCCTCATTGGGTCTCACATCAGGAGCTGAATTGGCAACTGCCATCTCACGCTGACAAATGTTATCTGAACTGGCTACATATATCAGCCTGTGGTCCCACATATAAGATTGAAAGAGTAGTTGTCTACGCAATCGATTGATTTCAAGAATATCAACCGCGGGTTGGCCCTTCCTAGCCTCCTTATTCAGAATTTTATTAAGGGCATCCTGAAAAGACATAAAGTCTGTTATAGAAGCAAATATTAAATAGATGTTCTAAAGTGAAGAACATAGTCAAAGTGACAGTATTCAGTAATGTTCAAACAACAAGGCTCTAAGCTCTATCAATTTGTGAAAAAAATACAATTTAATGCATCAGATGACAAAACTTCTTCAAATCTAATGAAGAAGATTATCCTTTTCACATAGTTGATATTATGCCCCACGTATAAAATTTAACATTTTTTTTTAACCAAACTGAAGTAAATGAACAACAAAGTCAAAATAGACTAGCCAATAAGAGGAAATTTATATCCCAATCAACATTGCAAAGAGAAAATAAGAAGCAGAACACAAGATGGATACATCTAACCATGAGTCATCATTGCTGACTGAATCCATGAGTGCAGAAAAAGTCTTTGCTTCTTCGAGAAGCAAACATACTTCAGCAAGAAAGAAAAGAAAAGGCTAAATATA